GCAGGCCTGTTTTGCTGGGATTGGGTTTAACCAAGTGAAATGCTTTGACATTTTCAATTGGAGTATTTTGGGAGGGAAGAAGGGGTATGTTTCAATTAGGCTAAAAATGTAGATATTATGACGCTTTGTTGCAGTTTGCAGCAAAATAGGAGTGTAAGAATAGCAGATGGAGGGATGGAACTTTCCATTTTTTCAAACAGGCATAGTAGTTACAAGTCTCACTTAACACTTCACTCAAGGACATGCTATTTGCAGCTTTTGGATCATTCAGTTTGTACTTTGGTGCCCAAACTTGCAATTAAGCAAATGAGACGACTGGCAAGATGTACGGTGGTGGTAGCCCTCTTCTTATCATCCTAATGGAAATAACCATACAGGGCTCTGATAGTAATTGCTGTGTACTTAGGGTGGGGTAGTTACAGTGCAATTTCAACATTTATTAGGGTGGTGTTTATACCCAGTGAAGTCAGCTGGAATCATCTGCAGTGCCCAAGGGTGGCTGGTGGACACTGGTGGCTCTGGCTGAATTTATCTCTTGGAGCATCGTGATTCATCCTTGCTGGGGAGGCAAAACAAAAAATAATGGTGGTTGCCTCTAGTTACCAGTCGCAGGGAAATCATCAGCAAATAAACCTGCTGCTGGACTTCAGGAACAGATGAGATGGGGAGGCTAGGAACAGAGTGCAAGGTCAGCTCCCGTGTGCCTAAAGCAGCCATTGTGGAAAGCTCTTATGAGGGGGAGTGAGTGGAAGGGGAGCTGAGGATGAATATTTGGGTCTTTCTGGATGCAGGTGAAGAGTGTTAATGAGTTGCTAGGCTGTGTGTCAAGTCCAACCCCAGCAGCAGGCTTTCTTTGTTCCCTTTGGATTGGGATGGGACAGTTTCCTGGTTAATGCATGACAAAGCTGGAAAGGAGTCTGGTTCTTTCTATCAGTGGGTGACTGTCACAGATCCCACCAGTGATGGCACCCCATACCTGCCTTTGCCCCACGGACCTTCTGCTCCCAGATCTGGCCCCTTTGCATAGGCAGGCTTTTTGTCCTGACAGCTTTTTGCAGCCTTGTATTCCTGGGAATTAGTGCTGTCTAGTCACTCTTTTGGATTGTTAATGAAGATGCTAATCAGGATTAATTAGTTGGATGCCCCATCCCTGGAGCTTTTTAAGGCCAGGCTCCTGGGCAGCATGATCTAGTGCCTGTGGCTAGGTGATCTAAATGATCTTTGAGGTCCTTCCCAAACCAAGCCATTCTATGGGTCTATTATTAGTGTGGGATAACTGTTGGTCCCCTTGCTCACCTGAACTCAGTTCATTGTTTTGCATCACATGTAGACCATCAGGTGGTCTCTTTCTTGCCAGCAGCATCCTATACTGGTGCTGTTTGATATAACTCTGGTAGGGAGGTGATGTTGTGCTACTAATGGCTGCCAGACATCAGTTGTGTGAGCACTGTTGTATTGAAGTCACCCTGTATAGAGGTGCTCCCAGGGCTGGAGAGACTGCGACATGGAGAAGAGCACTCAGGAGCTTGGTTGGGCTCCCTGGGAAGAGGTGAAGCTTCCTGAGGTCAGGATGCAAAATGGGTTATTTTCTGTTTTCCAATTGTTTCTTTATTTTCTTTTCTTTTTTTTTTCTTTGTCCATTCAGATAGTTCTGTGCCAACTGCCTATTTGCTATGATGGAGTGAGGAATCAGTGCTTATTGATGCCCCAATGGAGGTGTAAACTAGGTACGCATGCTGGGGCCAACGCAGGGCTGCTGAAGCAGCATCACTGTGGCAGTTACTCCCTTGCTTTTCCTCTAAAAGGCAAAACAGAGCTTTGTTGTTCTCAATCAGGATAAAACATCCCCATGCAGAACAACTCAAACTTTCTCCCAAGCCCAGGCAGCAGTTGAGAGATTCACCCCATGGATGCATCCGTGCCCAGTTCTGAGCCAGGAGCATCAGTTGCCATGGTGACTTATTTGGAAAAGTCATATGGGGAAAGTGCTGATGTATTTTTAGCTTTGGGTAATGAAATTTAACAGCTGGAAATGAAGGTGAGGGCCAGCCAGGGTGCTGTGCATTCGTGGAGCGCTGTTTGGGATGGCACTGGGGTAATGGTGTGCTTGGGGAGGATGGTCAGTGTGTCGGAGGGGAAGGAATCACCCTAACGAGGAGCTGATAAAGAGGTGGTGGTACATACAATGATAAAGAGGAAACGCTGGCTGAGGTCGTAGCTGCTACATGTGCAGTATGTTCAGCCTATAAATAGCTCTGCAAATATACCTCTGCTGGGAGGTATAGGCTGGGAGTGGAAAAAGCTCAGTTTGGGGTGGGGAGTCAGTGCATGAAGGATGTTTCAGGTTTGATCAGAGGTTCGCTTATCTGAAAGGTGTGGAGCCGGGCTGGAACTCGAGTGGGGGACCTTTGGTCCTCCAGTCAAGGTTCAGGTGTTGTTGTGCACCTTCTGAAATCAGTGTATCTGGAGAGAAAGCTTGCTGGACTGGCACTCACATGCCCCACTGCGAAGCCTCAGTACTGGTGTAATTTATTTGTATGATTTGGATCAGTGTGAACTTTTCTGAAGGTAGGCTCATATTTTATGTTCTGAAACACTTCCTCGGCTCCCTGCAGTATTTTTAGTTTATGTCTTCAGCTGTCAAAAGTTTGTTTTAAAAATAATTGATTTTGAAGTAATATTTACTGCACTTTAGCTTTCAGCACATCGTATGAAAATAGATTTCACTACAGCTGGCAGTGTCTGATGGGGTTTGTTCCTACTCCAAAGGCTTTCTGTGTTTCATCCCAGCACTTCAAGCTGCGTTGACTCCGAGCAGCCCCAGCACCTCTCCATACCACTGAGATAAGGTGGATCCAGGGAAGTGGTTCAGTCTAAGGAAACCACAGCTGATATATAGCTACACCCATAGGATTTGTTGAAAATCTGTAGGATCTGCCCTTTGTGCATTGGTGAGCTTTTCAGCTGGGTTAAAATCTGATCACATCCCATTCTGATAACCACAGCCGTGGTGAAGATAAAGCAGGAGGTCACAGAGGTGCCAGGCACCTCCTCAAGGGAGGTGGTGGATTTTGATGGGAGGTGGTTTAAGAGCAGCCTTTGAGTTGTAAAGTTTTAGACTCATTAGCAAAGGCATCACCACAACATTTCTTGGTGCAGTGAGATGCTCCCAGCTTTTTCCCTGGGGGAATAAAGAGCATCTCTCCTTTAAGGAAAACTTCTCAGAAAGAGTGATGCTGCAGTGGCACAGCTGCCCAAGGAGGTGATGGTCACCATCTGGTGTTCCAGAGCTGTGGGGATGAGGCACTGAGGGATGTGGTTATGGGCAAGGTGGAGTGAGTTGGGGTAAGACTGGGTGATCTTAAAAGTCTTTTCCAACCTTCATGATTCTATCATCTATGGTTGTCTTCTCCCAGGAAGCAGAGAACAGAGGGAGAGGTGGTGCAGTCCATGGCAGGGCCAAAAGCATTTTCCTGTCCCTGAGGTTTAATGACACTCGCAGAGCTGATCAGATCTTTTCCATCCAATCTATTCCTGGTAGAGAATAGATCAGTGTTTAATTAGATCTGTTCTCCTTCAAAACCTGCAGAGCTTTCCCTCCCACTTCTCCAATGAAATGTGTTCACATGAATGCTAAACTTCTGTGACTTTCCATACGTGCATCCTCATTCTCTGCTGCCTCCTGACATCTCCCAGTAACTCCCACAGTGGAATTCCCACAGCCTCTGCCTTCTCAGCATGGGATGGGGTGCAAAGCAGTGTGGATGTCTCCAGGTGGTAATTTGTCCCATAATTCAGGAGACCTGACCTGCATTTTCCTGGAGCTGTGCAGGGATTTGTGCTGGAAAGAGTTTCGGTGGTGACTGGATGGAGGCAGGCAGTGCCCAAAGTAGGTGAACTAACAATGTCCTGAGTGAGCAACGTGAATATAGTGCAGCAGAGGTCACCAAGGGGTGACTGACATGTGGTTACCGAACCAATTAATTATTGATTATCTTCCCAAGGACATAATAAGGCATCCTGTGTCTTCCTCCTCACAACATGATGCATTTAAGTAACAAATCAGTCGCTCTTTCTCTCTCCACCTCCAACCAAATCCTCCCAAGCAAACCTGCTCCCATTTGGCTAATGCCTTGACAAGGCTTTATTTGGCATTCGCCAATCAGAGCCACTTCACCTGGGGAGCTCGGTGATGGGCTTCAAGCAGAGAGGGCTGTGAGGAGCAGGGCTGGGAGCTGGGCTGCAGCAGGGGGTGTTAATGCCAGGGGGGGATTATGCCAGAATTGAAAAGCAAACCAAAGTCAGATGTCAGAAGCCGAGCCAAGCTGCAGGAGAATGATGGAAGTGATTCCCTTGACGCCGTCAGCTTTTTTATTGATCCGAGGCTGTTTATTGCTGTAAAACAGTTGTAAATTAAAGAGGAGCTGGGGAGATGGAGAGATGGAAATTGCCTAGGTTTGGTTTAAAAGATGTACACCCGCATTTGTGGTGCTTGGAGAGCTGGCTGCAGAGCACTGCTACCCGCAGGGGATGCACCCAACTGCTGCTGTTCTGCGGGAAAAAAAAGTGAGATCCTGGTACGACTTGGAGTAATGGTGTCTTGCAGACATGCTGAGAGGCATGGGGCAGGGCTGCTGGAGGAGCCCCAGGGCAGAACAGTGCTTTCCAGTGGAGTAGGATGGCTTTCCAGGCAGATGCTGCAGAAGGGAGGGAGATCCATCTGTAATGAATACTGAATTTTGCAGTGATGCTTAGCACAGAAAATAATGTGAGTTGTTCATGCAGTTGTACATATCTGTCTGCATACAGAGGTGTGAGTATATGCTTCGATGAGCATATCATTACATTTCATGTCATTACATTGACTTGAAATTATCAAATATGCCACGTTCACATTAGGAAAGGCAATATATGCTGCTTCTTCATCCCGTATGCACAGATACATTGACGAAGATGTCCGCCACCGTAATAACTCTTTTTTTCCTTCCTCTCCCTTGCAGAAATCCGTGAAGCTTTCCGGGTGCTGGACAGGGATGGGAATGGCTTTATCTCCAAGCAGGAGCTGGGCATGGCCATGCGCTCGTTGGGGTACATGCCCAGTGAGGTGGAGCTGGCAATCATCATGCAACGCCTGGACATGGATGGTGAGTCCTGACTGCTGGGTCTGTTACAGTGTGGGGAGCTCTCCCTGAGCACTGCAGCTTGTGTTTGGGGCTCAGGGTGTTCATGGTCATCACGAAGGTCTTGGAGAGATGCTGTGAGATTGCTGAATCATAGAATCAATAAAGACTTCCAAGATCATCTAGTCCAACCCCAGCCCATTCCACCATGCCCACTGCCACATCCCTCAGTACCACATCTCCACACCTCCAGGGATGGTGACCCCATCACCTCCTTGGACAGCTGTGCCACTGCATCACCACTCTTTCTGAAGACAAATAGTTCCTAATATCCAACCTGAAGCTCCCCTGGTGCAACCCATGCAAGGGAGATGGTGCATCCTCTTGTTGACCAACTGATACAGCTAGACAAAGACAAACCAACTCTGGAAACCTTTCTGTGCAAAGTGTCAACTGGTATTTCTGTTGAAGCTATTGCAGTCTTTTCTCTGCTTGTTTCTGGTACAGTGATGCTTACTGGGATGTAACTTGGGCACCTGGTGAGCAGCATGGTCCTGGGATGCTCACTGCTTCTCGCGAGTGAAAGATGCTGCGGATAGGAGCAGTGCTGTGCCGTAATGAAATGTTGCTGGGTTTTGATGGAGAAATTTAGAAGGGTGGAATGATTTTGAGTAACATCCTGCTGTGAGAGCTCCTCAAACGATTACCAAGAGGTAATAAAAGAAACAGAACCCACCATTAACAGGAACAAAGAAATGCAGCATCAGGATGCCAGAGCCAGGGGGGACTTGTTAACTGCCGCAAAGCTGCAATCAGAGCAGAGAACAACAAGAGGACTGCCTTTAAAATGTCCTTGGCCAGAGCAGGAAGGATGCTGTCCTAGTGCAGGGAGCTGGGATGCAGATCCAGCCTTCTTCCTCTGTGATACGGCAGGGCGAAAGCATGGAGCAAAGGGAGATGAACCAGATGCAGACCTGGTCTAAAGGGGAGTGCTGGGTGTGTTGATGTGACACTAACATCCTCAGGGGACTGTGAGAATGAGAACAGAGCCCCTGGGAGGTGGTGACAGGTGTGACATCCCTGGGGACATAGAAGAGCAGGTGCCCCTGGGGGATACAGGGTACCACTGCATTCATCAGGCAGGGAGTGGTGATAACCTCCTTGAGGGTGTTCAGAGGCTCTCCTGCAGGGAGATGCACGCACACCCCAGCGGATGGGGATGGTTGGTATTTGAGGCAATCTCTTTCCTGAAAGAAAAGGGACAAAATATATATATATATATATCCATCACTTTTTAAAGCATTTTCCTCAGATGTTGTTGTTTGCACCTTGTTACGCTGTGGCCTTTCCTAGCAGACCAGGTGACTTCTCTTTAGACTTCACAGAGGCCAGACTCAGCGCGGCGCCGGTTCATGGGGTCTTTTACTGCAACTCTGTGCTTTTTTGGAAAAAGAGTGCTGTGCACTTGGCTCTCTGTCTTGATTCATCTCCAGTTATTCCTGAAGTCTTGATCTCACTGACTTGAGACTTTGGCTCCCTTCCTGTTGCACTCTGGGACCTGAAACCGAGAGGTGGAGTTACAGTGCAGAGTAATGGGCTGCAGATGGGAGGTGTTGAATTCCTGTCCGAGGGCTTTCAGAAAGCTCAGCATGCTTTCTGCCAAGGTGGGGTTGATCCTATCTCTCTCCTCTAAGGATGCAGCATGAGGATGATGGGTACTGCTCTGGGTCTGCGTTGCATTTACCTGCTGCTGCAGTGCTTGGAGTAGGAGCTTATGGACCAGGACACAAATCTGTGAGATGGAGAGGCTGAGAGGGCCAGACATTAAGACAGCATCGGGGAATGGGAAATTCCTTAGGTACTGAGCGAATAGGGGAATGTTATGTGACAGATTTACCTTGCCTGCAAGTTGAATTAATACTGTTCAGCTTGAATTACGTGGCTTATGACTGCTTTCTCTCTGGTGGGTTGTCTTGGATTTTTATCTTGACTCGTCTGGATTTTTTGCTGTGATTTCACAGTGAGAACCAGCAGCAGCTCCCTCCTTCCTTGCACATTGCATGTGAGCATCATTCAGTAGCAAGGCTTGAACACAGCGAGCCCTGGGGTGTCACACATACCCCACACTCCCAAGAACAGCCTGACCCCACACGCTCCACTTGAGGGCTGCAGAGCTTTTCCTCTCCTTCACAGAGTCCCATGGGCAGTAGAACCAGGAGAGGGGCAGCCATCCTCCTGCACACCCCACATAAGTTACGAGGTGCCGGCAGGTCGTGCAGCCAGACGGCCCATCTCCACGCAGGGCTGCTGCCAGTGTCTGCTAATAATGAGGTAATACAATTGGCAGCACTTTGTATTTCATGAGAACCGGTCTGACCAGACCTCGCTGCAAGCATGTGGTTTTCATCAGGTATTACCTTGGGATCACTTGTGCTTTGCAGGATGGCAGGGCGTCTGCCGGGGATTTTTTAACTGGTGGTATTTTAATATTGAGCAATTAGAGCTGTTCTTAGTCTGGGTTTCCTTGCACACCCCATGCTCTGCAGGAAGGAGGAAGCTCAGCCTGTCTGGGTAGGGATGTGGGGTGGCAGAGTGATGGGAGCTGGGTGGACAAAGCACCTTGCAGTGGGTTGAAGTGCTTTTATGAGTGTGCACAGCGAATAGAACAGGAGCATTTCACACCTGTATGTCACCTTCTGCCAGAAGGGATCTCACCCAGCTCGGTAATTAGCACAAGGCTCAGCTCCAGAGCTGCCCATGGACCGTGCTGTCTGGGGCTGTTGGTGAAGCTCCAGAGCAGAAATGGAGCTGTGTTGCATAACACATTAAGTTGGTTAGAAAGTGGGACGTGCGTTGGGTATCTGATCACCTGTCCGCTGTCTTTGTGTAACAAATTATTTGCTTTGGTACCACTTGAAGACTTTTTTTTTTAATTGTTCTGCTTTATTATGGTTGGTTATGTCTGTGCTATCTCACTGCTTTCTCCAGGTGGAAAAGAAACCTTTCTTTTCTTTGTTCTTCTGCTCCTCCTCTTCCTTCTCAGCTTCGATTGCATAGGGGAGAGGTGGAAGCATCCTCTGCTTCCCAGCAACATTTTCAGAGTCCCAACAAACTCCCAAAGGGATAATTTCTTTTCAAGTATTGCAGGTTTCACGAAACACAGATGTGGTGATGCTTTGGTTGTGTTGAGCTGTGTCCCAGCTGGAAATGAGAGTAACAAGTGGGTTTGCCCATGGGGATTGTCACTGGGTGATGCCAAAGATGCTTAGCAGCTTCTGAATGTCCTACAGGAAGAGCGGAGGGGATTCCTGCCCATGGGAACCACAAGGTTCTGTCTGTCTGTATGTCTGTCCTGTGCCACAAAGCCAATGGAACACTTGGGTTATGCTTGGGTTACTCATCCGTTGGGCTTTGAAGCCATGAAGCAAGGTCACTTTTTGGAAATGCACTGGGTATTCTGCTGCTGTGGTATCCAGTGTGTTTCCAGAAAGTGCCTTCTCTGTCTTGTGTTCCTCCTCCCTTGCTGTTCTGAGAGAGGTGCTCCAGCCAGATGGGGGAGGGGGGAGTCACAGCTGCCATTGGGAGAAATAGTTCAGCTGGAACAAAAACTGGATTAGAGTGAAAAATGAGAATACACTTGGAATATTTCAAGGTCTCTAGAGAAAGTTTATAAATCATCAGAAATCCCCTTTCATGAACTGCTGGAAGGTGCTGTAGCATTGCTGTGATGGAAGAGATAAAAGTACCAAAATCGAACAGGAGGCAAAGGGTTATTTGAAGCAGCTCTCCTCTCTTGGGGAAGGAAGGGAAGAACAGTGTTTCTATTGCTCCAAACATGATTCACATCAGACCAGAGCTTTTGTTACATCTTATTTTAGAGCTGGTGTGTGAATGTTTGCCAGCAGAAGGCTGCTCAGGATAGGTGGGCATCTCCAGTGGTTGTGCCTTGTGTGGACATTGTGTTTTATTTTATGCCTGGAAATAGAGGCCAGGTTTTACCTTAGTTTATACCCTTGATTTTCTTCATCCTTAGACGTAATGAGGTACTGGGTGGATATAAACTCTGCAGACTCTGAGAGGTGCATACGTTTCTGTCTGCAATCTGGAGAATGACCTGAAACGTTCTGTCAGTTGGTGGAAAGCAGAATATTTTAAGTATTTATTTGCTGGCAAAATAATTTTTTTTTTTCCAGATTCGTCCTATTGGCAGTAATGCTAATAAAAATGCAGAGAAATGGCACATTAAATGTGTTGCCTTATTCAGGATTCCTACTCTTCAAGCAGACTTCAGCAATAAAATAGATGAATGTGTGACTTAAGTGTCAAACTGTTTCGTTACAACATCAGACACTTTCATCCACGGAATAAAATAAGCACTCAGTGTACTAATTAGAGAAGCAGCTGGTTTTCAGTACCCTGGGAAAATAACTTCAGGCTAACAAAAAAAACTATCCAGTGTGTCAAATTGTTTGTTATAGTACAAATAGGAAATACTTTGATCAAGCAGAAGACAAGCCAGCTCCACCAGTGTACAAGCCAGCTACCTGCTACCTTTTTGTCACATTATGTGATACGTCAGTGGGAACAGCAGAAATCCAGCATCTCCTGCAGCTTCCTCTTCAGCAATTGAAATGAATGTAAATCCCAAATTAAAATTTGGAGTGTTCTCTCACCAGTTGGGAGGACTCTTTGTGGAGCTATCTGTGGTGACTCTTGGTGGCCTCCAGGGATGGTGTTGGGGTACCAGGAGTCTCCCTAAAAGCTCTCCTTGCCGTTGTGCTGCTGTTGGGTTGGGGTTGTAAGGGGAGCAGATTTGCTCACTGACAAATGTTTGCTTGCTCAGACTGGTTTGTACTTCCCTGCGTGGTACAAACTGACGCTGCAAAAATGACATATTTTTTAACTTTCTTTGCCTTTTTTCACAGTTTTCGTGCCATGGCTCATTCACTGTGTTGAACCATTTCACTATGACACTGCAGACTTCACAGAGATAGAATGGTCAGACTTTGAAGACTCTGGGCTTG